GCACATCACCATCTCAGCAATGTTGCAAACTCACTGTACAGAAACCTATGCACATCACCATCTCAGCAATGTTGCAAACTCACTGTACATAAACACTCGCACATTACCATCTCAGCAATGTTGCAAACTCACTGTACAGAAACCTATGCACATCACCATCTCAGCAATGTTGCAAACTCACTGTACATAAACACTCGCACATTACCATCTCAGCAATGTTGCAAACTCACTGTACAGAAACCTATGCACATCACCATCTCAGCAATGTTGCAAACTCACTGTACATAAACACACGCACATTTCCATCTCAGCAATGCGGCAAACTCACCATGCATAAACACATGCACTACTAGTCAAATATTTTTGCACACACTGGGATTTTCTACATTTGCATGTTATTAAACATTTACTAAAAATACACTGATTATTCTTTGCTAGCAAATACATTTACAGTATGTTAACCATTTGAGTACCTTTATTAGCAAGAAAATGTCATATCTTTCATCAAAGTAACCTCTTCTAGCAGTTAAACCAGCAGAGAAAATTTAAGGCATTTCTTATTACAAGGGATAATTAAATACTGCTCTGTTTCCTGGGATGAAACAGTTAACTAATGAATTTAAAGTTCAGGGACAACCTAGAATTTGACTATGCCACACAAGCAGATAATAGGATGTCAGACATGCACTTCCATGCTAAAAAGGAATCTGCAAATAAATCTGCAGTTTATGAAATAAATGGAAACGTGGTAAAGATCTGTGGTGTACGAAAAAACCTTTGACCGGTAGTGCACACATTGCCTCCTGGGGAATTTTGCAAGCTCACCGCGTATAAACACAACGCACGTCACTGTAATGCCGCAAACTCACCACACATCTCAGTCACTTCCTGGGTCACCAGATCCTTGACCTCCTTTACCTGCGGGACACAGAGCACAGCAGGGCTGTCTAACTTTCCACTCCCAGAGTGCATTGCTGCCTTTCCGTGATTACAGCTTCCAAGCTCTCAATATCCTGGAGTGGTGTCCAAGGACACTGTAGTAGGGTATGAAGGCTACTGGTGACTTTCTGGTCCCTGTCCCAGAGACACTCCTGTCCAGCTGGGGTCTAAGGAGGAAACTCACCGTGAGTCCCGGGTCCCCTTTGTCCCCCTTACGTCCTTCTGCTCCCAGCATGCCCTGCGGGGGGCATGGCAGTCAAATGGCAACATCACTGATTACGTAGTAGCATCACCATGGAGGTGCTAAGCACCAGATGTTCTGATCCGGAGCCACCCGGCCACAGGACATGGCCTCCTGGGGGGCACCGTCGCCACACCGACGCCCTGCGGCCACTTATGCCACCCACTGCATGGTCACATGACCCTGCCAGTGAAATGCAGTTCACCAGCTGGCTTTAGCACCTACACTCTGTCACTATTACTTATGGTTGAAAAAACAATTCCTTACTGGATATGTGCTTGTCTTTTCAGTGCATGCATTGAACATGGACTCACATCAGCTCCTGTCGGTCCTGGGGCCCCTAGTGGGCCCCTTACACATGGCTTCCCTCTGCCACGGCGGCCCCGCTCTCCCTGGGGAGTAAATAGGATCAGGACACATGAAAACACCAAACCCCCTCCCCCACCCTGGAAACACGCTTCTGGGATGATGCTGCATCCAGTTGTGGGCAGTTCAGGTAAAGGCTTTTACTCTCTGGACCTGAACTACCGACCTATGGCTGCCAGGTGTATTTACACTCAGGTGTAAATGACAAAAAGGCTCAAGGATGTTCTGAAATAACCAAACCAGGTACAAGTGCAAAGTCCCCATTGAAATGCAGGGCCTGATAATTAATAAACCCCTATGACTGAAACATTGCCCCTTAATGGATTGTCCCTTTTAAATACAGATGCTAATGAGTAATCTGTGTGTAACTGCCTTGTCCTCCCTCACTGAAATGGGATTATAAAGGTATAAATCCTCATGTTGCATGATTAGGTACCTTAGGTCCGAGGTCTCCTTTGGGTCCAGCCGGGCCAGGAGCACCTGGGGCTCCATCTTTGCCTGCTGCACCTGCAGAGCCTTTGAGTCCAGAGAAACCCGGAAACCCAGTGGCACCCTACAGTGGTCATGCAGTGGAGTCACCATCGCAGCTCAGGGATACAAGCACACGGTACGTGTCCATAACACGGAAACACACACTGAGGTAGAGCTGTGGAAGATCAGCCCAGCAGTTAGGCAGGACCCACCTTTTGACCTTTTTGACCTGGCTCCCCGTCCGTGCCGTTCACACCACTGTCGCCCTGGTCGCCCTATAAACCAGAAACCGTTGGCAACGAGCGTTCAGCCGCCATAACAATACGACTATCGAAGTATCCAATGAAAAGAAACAGATGGCATCTGGACGGCATGACGTGTACATCTAATATTTCCCAGCATCAGCTGGTCTGCACGTAAAACCAGAACATAATGCAATTTCCTCAGTCAGATGATACACAAACTTGGTCAAAAGTTACAGCCTCATAACAACATCAGATTACGCCCATTCATCCATCTCCCAAACACTTTATGCTATGCTGCGAGGCACCGTCCTGCCCTGTGTGTGATCACATTACGGCCAGGAATATACAGCAATCGTTTGTAAGCAGACCCTGCGGACGTGTAAACAGAGCAACGTGAAAAGCTCATTGACATCCAGGGCCTGCCGTGAGAGCACACGGTGAGACACATGCTGGCCCATTTTGGCCCGTGTTCTGATGTTTCTGTCACCACACAGAGGGCTGCACACTCTACACTCATCTGTGTTGTCATGGGACACCCACCGCATTACCCAAAGCTGTAGGGTGAAGGTCTGCCACCGTGGGCAGCACAGAGCTGCCGGACAGCAACGGTGGTGGAAACCTGAACCCTTTATTAACAGGAAATGGGGACGAGGCTTCTTTGGATGGGCAACCATGAAAAGGTGCTAAGGTCTAAATTACTCCCTCAGCTGGTGCACGCTCACACCTTCACACTCACTCCCTAACTGCGCAGAGGAAATGTGGTCCCTCTCCATCTCTCAGGGTTAGATTACCTTCAGCCCAGGAAGGCCGCTGAGGCCGGGGGCCCCTGGAGTGCCTGGGAGGCCTGAAATCCCCTGGGGGGGTAAAAGGCAGTCAGATATTGAGGTATCAAAAAGCAGCGAGTCATGCAAGATGAGGGCATGTGATGACTGGATGGTGTACAGATACCCCTGTGAGCTTGGGGGCCTCACGTTGAACGTGGCTCCTTCCCGTGGTCACATGATTTTCACATTAATAAATCAAAGTAAACCTCCTCACCTGCTCCCCATCTAGGCCAGCAGCACCCGGCCGGCCCAGAAGGCCACGGAACCCCTGCACAGACACAAACAGCAGTTTAAGCAGCCATACCAGAGCCACAGTGCCCCCTACAGCCGCTGCACACACTGTCACCTTCTCTCCTTCTTCCCCTGTGTCACCAGGCTGGCCAGGCTCCCCTGAATCTCCCTGCAGGCAAAAGGTTGATCAGGTAAAAAGCCGGTAAACTCTTCAGCTTGTACAATCCAGGGAAACTAGTTCCTAACCTGGTCTCCTTTTTGGCCTTGTGGGCCTCTGTCTCCTTTGCTGCCCTTGACTCCATTCAATCCGTCACTGCCACTGTGGCCCTTGGAGGAAAATGAGCCAATCAGAAGAGAGCATGACTGTCCAGACTGTGACATCTTCATCTCACTGAGAAAGGGGGCTCATGTACTTTCCTCACACATCTGTTCACTCTGTAGGACATTATCAGTACATTAGCAAATGAGGCCAGTGCAGGAAAGAAAGTTTTAGGTTATGATACAAAGACCTACTGGTTCGCCATCAACACCAGGCTCGCCGGAGTCCCCCTGTGAACACATTGGACGTCACACGCTGGGGTTAAGATATGCATGTTTAAGCTCAACAACAGGGTGAAGCTTCTCAGGGACCTGTGTCCTTAGTCACTAAACCACATAGAATGGGATCCATTCCTTTAGTTGACCACACAAAATGGGATCCAATCCAAGTCACTAAACCATGGGATACATCCCCTTAATAACTAAACCATACAGAAGGGGATACATGACCTTAGTAACTAAACCATACAGAATGGGATTCAAGCCCTTAGTCACTAAACCATGGGATACATCCCCTTAATAACTAAACCATGCAGAAGGGGATACATGACCTTAGTAACTAAACCATACAGAATGGGATTCAAGCCCTTAGTCACTAAACCATGGGATACATCCCCTTAGTAACTAAACCATACAGAATGGGATTCAAGCCCTTAGTCACTAAACCACACCATAAGGGATCCATGGCCTTAGTAACTAAACCATACAGAATGAGATACATTCCCTTAGTCAGTAAACCACTCAGAATGGGGTCCATGCCCTTAGTCACTAAACCACACAGAATGGGATCCATGCCCTTAATCATTAAACCACAAGACCTTCTGGCCAACCGGTCCCCGGGCCCCAAATGGTCCCAATGCTCCTTTGGCTCCAGGATCTCCCTTTAGTCCCTTTGCAGGTAAGAAACAATAAATAGATGAAGATGTTAGTAAATAAACACACCATGGAGCATGATTCTAAGGTCCATATGAGATATTCCTCTGCAGGACAATGGCAGATCTAATCAATAACAAAATGTAGCATTTCTCTTTCTCACCTTTATACCTGGGGGTCCATCCTCACCCTTCTCCCCTTTGTCCCCATCAAAGCCTGGGGGTCCTCTGTCCCCCTAAAAATGTGTAACAGATTTTGTACTCTCTAGCGCCAGCACAAACCAGCCACTGTACATAATTCCATTTATCGCTATTGTCTCATCAATCCATGAACAATAATCTATTTACCACTGCCCCCTTGTGGCCTGTGTAACCTTGGGGTCCTGCCATCATCAGCGGACTCCCCTGGAGTCAAACATTAGTGAAACACATGACTGGGAGAGTCTCAGTACATGCGCTGCTCTTTACATGAAAGTTAATTAAAACGTTAATTACCTTTTCACCTTTGATCCCAGCCAGGCCACGGTCACCCTGCCAACACATTTTGAGAGTCAGACTTTACTTGATGTAGCATGTTTTCACAAGGAGGAGGTCGATGCAGAGGATTTTTACTGGATTTGAAGACGTGTATTATTAATACTCATAAGAAAGGTGACAGGCTTTGAGTCAGGTGTCCAGAGGCAGAGGCTGAATGAGTTGGACATGTCAAGTCAAACGTTTTTGTACTGTCAGCTGCAGTGGAGTGATCTGGACCTTTATCATGATGGCACTGATGTCTCAGCCAACAGAGAGTGTAATGTGGTTCAAAAGATTACGTCCTGTAGAGTTTATCTGCAGTGTTGCTTGTCAGAGAGGGGGGGTACTAGTGGGGGGGGGGGGGGGATCCAGAGGCAGGATGTAGGCTGCAATCAGCCATGCTCCAGTGGCTCAGGTTAGGTTTAGGGTTAGGGTTAGCCAGGGCACTCTGCTCATGCCAAGGAAACGACTGCAAATGCTGAGCAGTTAAACAGGAACAGGTGATCTGGGTAGGTCTGGTGGAGACTGCAGGGACATTAGCAAAAAAACCCTCACGCTGATACCCATGTGGAGAAGGGGCTGTAGCGGAAACGTCAGCATCGTCATGACGACCTTTCTGTAAGATTCCTTGGGGGAAAAGGAAGAGAAGAGCCTGTGCTGACTGACAAGCACCAAACCGGCCGCCGCTCACCCCATCTGCATCTTTCAAGGTTGGGTTAGAGTCCTTCCTCTTTCACGCAAACTTTCCCGTATCCGGGGGCAGAATACCAAAGAGCCTCGCTGGAAAAGGCCAGGAGCGAAGGCCTCGCAGGAGAGTCTCGGATGACAGGCTGACAGTTCGGTGGAGAGTGGAGAGAGCTCCCTTCAAGCATTTGTTAGGAGCCTCGCGATGACCCGTCAAAGTCAGGAAGCCTCAACCTGACGTTTCCAGACTCCGACAGGAACATGAAAATTTAAAGCTGCTACTTCACAAATAGCAGTGCTGCAGTTCATCAAACCACACCCAAGATCTTATCTTCTGCTAAAGGGACCAACATGGAAACCAGCTCAGACACTGGAGAGAACCCTGTGTCTCACCTTTGCCCCCTTGGTACCGGCAAAGCCTTTGGCACCCTGCAACAGAACAAAGGCACATGCGGGCTTATGCAGAGGAATGGCGAATGGTCTGAAAGCAGGCAGCAAGCAAACTGTTATGGGACAGGATGCTGGCTTACTGTATGTCCTGGGGCTGCCCTGGCACCAGGAGCACCTTTCTCACCCTATTATCGAAAGAATAAATTCATCAGAACCATCAAGAGTTCTTAACAAGAACTCTAACAAGGCTACTCAATGCAACGTGGTAACTTCTGTTCAATGAACAGTATATGTTCAATGTAATTGTAATAGTTGACTGACAGACCTTCTAGTGATTCCCCCAAAACTGAGGAACCTCACACCCCCATGCCTGTCTCACCTTGCGGCCTGGGAGACCCACTACGCCCCTGTCTCCTGGCTCCCCAGGGACACTCTCACCCTGGCAATAACAGGAATAGATAGGAATATTTGATATAAAAGTGATTTTGTATTTTTGTTGCTATTATTCACAAGACCTTTTCTAAAAATATTGTGGGTGTGGTTTGAGTTTCTCAGTGATGACATTGGTACCTTGACACCTCTCATCCCTGGAGTACCTGGTGAGCCCTACGGGGAATGGGAACAGGTACGGCTTGGAGAGGGCGCAGATGGTGAAGAAGGTGGCTTTAATCAATACCACCACTAAAAAGCCCATGTTGACAATGTGAATGAGGTGGGTCATCATACCTGTGTCCCCGGTGAGCCTCGTGCACCTGGAGGTCCAGGTGATCCATTCTTGCCCCGCCTTCCTCGATCACCCTGGAGAAATAAAGAGAGAGAAGCCTTGACTGCCCCTCGCTGAGAGTGGACTACAGTGCTGCCTCATGGGTCTGTCTGCATTACCAGACTCTCGCGTCGCAACTTCAGCTGGCATCACTCACTTCGGCCCCAGGCTTCCCCGGGTCACCCGGCTGACCCCTCAGGCCCTGCATCCCCGAGATGCCAGGGTTACCGCCGATCCCCTGGATTCCCTGAGCTCCGGGGGGTCCTGGTTCTCCAGGTTCTCCCTGTCCCATGGGGCGGGTACAGAGACAGACAAAGGAAGCAAACAGCCAACAATAACTGTATGCACAGAGGAGGGAGAAGCCAGGAGGTGCTGAAGGTAGACAGATGGATGGACAGACGGATGGACAGACAGTTGGACGTCTCAACTGCATGAGAAGCAGCTGTTTAAATGACTATGACAAAAGTGAAGGACCTTCCACAGTTTATCTTAAGTGTTCGGGGTCTGAAATGTCGACAAAAAAGCATAAACTCTTGGCTTTTTGTTGGGGAATTTGAGACTCTGGTGTCTTTGTGTTTGCATAAAGTCAGAGTACCTTTTGCCCAGGAGGGCCGGCCTGTCCAGCTGGACCACGGTGACCCGTTCCCGGCTCCCCCTGTGGACAGAGATGTAATGTGTGAGGCTGTCGCTAACTGCTATGAGTGACGTCAAAGGCCAGGGCAACTTCCAGACTAAAAGGCCCCATCGTTTGTGACCCAACGCTCCGTTTGGATTTTAATTTCAGAACATGGGGGGAAGGGGGGGGGGTTTACCTTTTGTCCCTTTTCACCAACTTCTCCCTTGACCAGAACACAGAAACAAAAGAATGAGCACTGGCAGCGGATATCAGGGGCAGAGCCGCAATTAGACGGAGCTTTTCATGCACAACGTGAGCAGCGTGCCTCGTAAAGAAAGTCCATCACACCCTCAAGGATATTTCCTGTATCGACGCGGAGGAACAAACACTGCGCAAGTGATCAACGCTCAGATTAAGGCTCCTTGTCACGGGTAAAAATAGAAGCGAGGACTTCAAAGGCCAAGTGTGGAGAAGCTCTCCGAATGTTTTATGAGTTTCACCGAGCTGAGTGACAGCAGCAATTTCCTCACATCCCCAACGAGGCTGGATGATGTCAGAGTGAGCAGCGTGGGTGGGTGGGTGGGGGGGGTGCATTTACACGGTCTACATTCAATATGACAGAAGAGCAAGATTACGGACACACGAGTATTGAAGAGCTAACAAAGGCCCAGAGGCCTCAATGGATCGCTGAAAGCCCTGGTAGATTCATTATCAAGGACACAAAGGTAGGAAGCATACACACCTTTTCCCCCGGGAGTCCATTTTCACCTGGCACACCCTTTGAAAACAGCACCCACTGATGAGAACATAGCAGAAATACACAAACACACACACCAGCCTGCACCCCTCTCCTCAATACACACCTACTATACATACACATTGCACAGATCTGGAAAAACAACCAAACACTATCCCACCGAAAGTGACTCAAGGTGGCAGTGGGCAGTAGTGAGCTCTGCCCCCAAATCAATGGGACGCCTATGGGACTGTGGCCAAGGCAGGCCTCCTGCTTACTGCAGCTTAGCAAAGCTCTGGGGGACGGGGAGTTGGCAACGGTGCCACCGGCTTCCTCACCAGACAGCAGTAGGAAGTCGTCCAAAACACATGGACACAGCTGTTCACGGCGGCCAAAACACGACTCCATGCCCAATAATAACTACATGTTTTAGACATTTCTATTAATAAGCACCCCTCACTTTAAGTAGACTTTGAGTGTGGAAACACAAGCCTTATTAAAATGTCATGGGTGTCTTTGTATGAATGTGAGACTTATAACCTGTAATTTAAATAACTAACACAGTGCTTAACGTGTTATAATAATAACTATCACACACATGCAGCGTGTTCTTACCTTCAGATAATCATACTCTCTGCCATAACCTCTTCTTCTCTGCCACTCCATCATCTCCCTCTCTCTCTCCAACCTCTCATTTTCCATTTCCAGATCCTCTCTCTCTCCCTCTATTCTCTCTCTCTCTATTTCCAGCTCTTCTTCCCTCTCTCGTTCCCTCTCTACCTCTAACCATTCCCTCTCTCTCTCATTCTCCACCTCTGTTTCTCTCTCTATCTCTAATCCTTCCCTCACTCTCTCCTTGTCCATCTCCATCCATTCTCCCTCCATCTCCAGTCTGTCAGTCTCTTCCATCTTCTCTCTCTCCGGCTTGTGTTCTTCATCTTTGTCCATCTCCGCTGTGTCTGCATCATTCTCTGCTACCAAATTCCTCTGCTCTTCTGTCCAGTGTGCCTCCGCCTCCGTCTCCGTCCCCCTGTCTCTGCCTGCTTCTTCCTGAGCCCTAAGGTCAGTCTCAATCTCGGGGGCCTTGCTCTCCTGCTTCTTTTTCTGAAACAAAGTCAAAGAGATATAGATCCTAATCAGAGCGATCTTGCCTCCAAGATATGTGTAGCACGTGTGAGTGAAGGATATGAATTTGTAGCTGAATGCTGCAGATTCCCACGCTGGGGAAGGTCTTACTTCTGCACTCTCAAAAAGCCTCAGTAAAGTCCGTTCAGCTGAGAAAGCTGGGTATCAAAAAGGAATGTTTCTGGTATGTAATGTGAAACGATAAGGATTTTGCATTAAACTCACATTGAGCCTCTTTCGTCCACCAGTCCCAGATCGTGACTGAAAAAAAAACATAAAAAAGCGAAACGGTTATTCATATATATATATATATATATATTGTGTGTGTGTGTGTGTGTGTGTTTATGTTACATTCATGGTTAGCTTACCCTATGACATCATACCGGCCTACCTGTCACATATGAAAGAGGCCTGCTGACACATTGATTAAAAAATAACATCTGCAGCACTGGGTGCAAAAAGCATTGAAAAGCTCATGTATTAATACAACGTGTGTCAGACAAAATGAGACCAAAGTATCATCCCAAGAAGCAATCATGAGGACTAATACTAAGTTATAACAAGGGGCTGAGCTGTTATTAGGACCAGGAGCAGGCTCAGGCCCGGGGCAGGACTGATATTGAACTATAACAGGGGGCTGAGCCATCATAAGGATGAGGAGCAGGCTCAGGCCTGTGGTAGGACTGATACTAAATTATAACATGCAACTGAGCTATCTTAAGGATCGGGAGCAGGCTCAGGCCCGGGGCAGGACTGACACTGAACCATAACAGGGGGCTGAGCCTTCACGAGAATCTCCACAGCACAAGGCTGACCTGCTGTGCTTTCTTCTTGTGTCGGGATGCCTGTTTTCCCACTTGAGTCCCAGGCATGTGACCCTAGAGAAAAAAAGGCATTTAAGTGTAAACAAAGGGACACCCAGGGGCAGAGTGACAGGGACTGCTCCAAAGCACACCCCCTCATGTGGGGAGAGGGGGCTGTACTCACAACAGAGTCCTGCTGGGGGGCTGTCCTCCGTATGCGCGCAGCCATCTTGGGCCCTCCTTCACTGACTGTGCCACCCTGCTTATTTTTCCAAAGGTCAGAGGTCACTATGAATCAATCAGTACCTTAAGGCCACATGTAGTCAATGCACCAGATGTAGCAGGAAGTCTGGGCTGTATGTGGCTGTGTGCATGGGGGTATACACATCACCTAACCCCTCACTAACGGTGCATGTATACCCCCCACATCACCTAACCCCTCACTAACGGTGCATGTATACCCTCCCATATCACCTAACCCCTCACTAATGGTGCATGTATACCCCCCATATCACCTAACCCCTCACTAATGGTGCATGTATACCCCCATATCACCTAACCCATCACTAATGGTGCACGTATACCCCCCATATCACCTAACCCCTCACTAATGGTGCATGTATACCCCCAATATCACCTAACCCCTCACTAATGGTACATGTATCAAACAGCCATCATGCCCCTGAGATATACAGCTGTTGGTGTGTGACCGTGGTGACAGCAGAGACACTGTGCTTTCTGATGCGGTGCTCTTCGGATGTGTTTGTGAGTCCGACAGTCTTAACGCATCAACCATACCCAACCTTAACAGCAGAAAGCCTCAACACACTGAAACAGTGACGGACACAGGAAAGCACTTGTTTTATTTTTGCAACTGGATGTGTGGAGGACATAGTCACATGATGAAGGCTGGGGAGGAGCAGCTGTCCCAATCACCCTTAAAGCTCTCTGTTAACAGGGGGGAAGGAGTCAGATGTGTTTGCTTCAAGGAGGTTAATGGGAGGAGGGGGTGGTGGGGCTGGGGAAGTCACTGAGGCTGGTGAGATGATAACCCTCCGTCATTCAGTGAACTATCAGGTCATGTTTCTCAGGGAACAATGTTCACCAGTGAAAACAAGATGTAAAATTGTGCAACACACACATGTAAAAACCACACAAATGACTCATTTATTTTTCATAAAAAATGGAAACATGTACGACACAGATGGTATGCAAAATAATACAAGGTGTGTTTTTCCATCTGCCCCTAACAAAGACAGTCAATCAAGTTTTTCTTTTAAGGCATTGATTTACTTAATTAATTGATTAAGGCATTGACCAAAACTGAGGAAAGGTCACAAAAATCCTGATACTTCACAAGGGGTTCAGGCTATTTCCTCACTTTTAATAAATAAGTTACCTTAAACCTGTTTTTCTTGGTTATGTTAATTAGACATTAATGGCAGTGGTAAATTGTTCTCCTGGGGGAATATACACGTTCAGAACATTTAATTTATATAAATTGTCTAATTTCTCAGATATATACTTCAGCAAACCAAATTTGCTGTTTCCAAGGTAAACAGGTGGCATCTGGAGCACGTGACATCATCAGCGTGCGACGAGAATGAGTTCCTCCTCATATAATACTGGTCCTGTTCGTGTGGACAGCCCTCCAGCGTCTAAACACTTCACAGCTTACAGGGATTTCAGCTCATGTTTACAGTGATATGCTCATATGTTTTCAATGTGAGTGACCTTAGGAAAATCCCTGTGTTAAAAATTAGAAAAAGAGATTACGTTACACTTTTAAAATGTAAATAATTCTTTAGCATGTTCTTCCAAGTGTGGTGCATTCTCACACACAGAATTTGTTATGATTATCATTATAGCCAAGATCATGCACAATGCATGCTGGGATCCTACACTTTCTTTCTGCATGAATTACTGTGATAAGCCCTGCACTGTTAGCTAAAGCTCCCAGGAAACACTGTCCCTATTAATTTTTCTCTGTTCTTAAATTTTTTTGTGTCCCTATTATCTCCTGGTTGATTACAACACGTCTTAAGTCACATTAATACGTACATTGAAAAAATTCTGCACCTTGTTTGCACTGGTGAAGTGTATTAGTACAAGCAGTTTGCAAAGTGCCTGGACCGTTTCTGAATACTCTTCCGGCCGTACTCATGTTTGCCTTGTGATGCATTGCTTGCACACAGGAGCGGCTGGCAGACTGGTGACAGCACATCAAAACCGTGCCAAAATAAATGATTTCTCTTAGTTGGGTGACAGACACAGGCCCAGATAATCCAATTAAAACACATATTTCAGTGTCACCTGACAGCATTTCTGGTGTCAACATTAGCTTGTCTTATTCTACCCTTGGGGGGAGCATACAGCTGGAACAGCTTCAGAGAGCAGAAGCAGCGCCTTTGGCTGGCTGCTGATGACAGTCGAAGCACTTTGCAAACATCTGTGCAGCCCGGAAGGGGGTGAGGGGGGGGCATGCAGTGGCATGGAGAAACCCCCAGCAATGGTGACCCCACAGGAAGAAAACCTACCTCTCCCCTTCCCTCCTGAATCTTATCATCCTGCTTTGAAGTGAACAAAGATGCAAGCGAACAAACAGATGAATAAGGACACAGCTTCACCTCCCCACACAGACCTCATGCACCTGCATCATCACTCAGTCAAGGCTGCCATTACAGTAAAGCTAAATGACTTCTACAGGGAAGGGGTCAAAGGTCAAAGGTCATGCCAATACCTCCTCTCCTGCTGGTTGTGAATGCAGATGACTGGCAGTGGTGAAGCCGGCCTGAGGAAATATAAAAAAAGTTTAAAAAAGTACAATAATACAATAAAAAACAACAATAAAACAATAATAAAATACAGTGGTACCTCAGAACTCGAACTTAACCCATTCAGAACTCGGGTTTGAATCCTAAAAAGTTTGAGTTCTGATCTAATTTTCCCCATAAGAAATAATGGAAAACCAATTAATTGGTTCCCGGCCACAAAAAATTACACCTAAATATGTTTTTTTTAGCATTTAAACACAAAATGAACAGGATAAAACAAGAAGAGCATTTTTTTTCTTAATGGCTTCCAAAACGATAAAGAATGTACCCCAACACTACCCCTGTCCTGCCCCGATCGTCCGGTCCTTCCGTGTGCCACGCCCCCTCGTTAATCTCGTGTGGAATCCCCGTGCGATCAGCTGGTTGTTGTCATTATAGCCCTCTGTATTTAGTCCACGTTTCAGTTTGTTTCCTCAGTCCGGTCATTGTAACGTCATTGTGTTGTTCTGCCTGTTCTTAATTAAACCCTGTGTTTCCCGATCGTTTGAGTCCTGTCTCTGCTTCCCCGGTCCCGGCTTGGCAGATCGTGACAACCCCAAGCCATGCCCCAACACTGCACCAACACTAGACTATGCCAATGCGGTCCATTGTTTATTTTTATTATTACTCTGTATTTGTTAAGTTGTTTGTAAAACGCAAACTTTTAGGTTGTAACATTTGTACAACTATTGCGTAACTTTTTGGTGAGCAATGGCTACCAAAATTATATAAAGTACAATGTATTAGCTGATACAGTATTTTCAATAAAAAAAAGCACTATCACCAACAAACGATGCTATCACAGCGAATTCGAGGTTGAGACTGAAGCGTTACCCTTTGTTTCCGCTGAGAGACGTGCCACGTGACTCATTTCCCTGCGCGTACAAGTTATCTTAGGTCGGCGTTCACAGTTCGACTTCTGAGATTCAGATCGAGTTCTAGGTCTTTGTTTTTTTTTAACTGGTTGGTTCAACTTTTAAGAAATTCGAGTTCTAATGAGTTCGAGAACTAAGGTACCACTGTATAAATGATAAAACAGAGGAGCCAAAGTCAAGTAAGGGGAACAAGGAGCGCCAGGCGGGGTCTGAGCGCAGATTTCCTGTCACAGGTGGGCCACTGCACACCAGGAAGAGGTAAGGAGAAGCTCACCCTGGCTACCGGTGACTGGATTGTGAGTTCAGTTGATACGGAGTCCTGTTAAAAGCAAAAAACTTAGTTATGGAATTTTCTAGATTGGTGCAAAAAATGGGGGAATGAAATGTGACACGCTTAAACCTTTTTGTAGAGGATGTAAGGGTCTCTCTTTGCAGATAAAATAATAAATGTAAGTGTACAAAACAAAGACCTATTTATCAATGTGATAACAATGGTTGGCTGGTTGTAGCTGCAGCAGCCAATCAATAGTGTTCCCTCTTAAGACAATGGAAGAAACCAACCAATCCATAGCTCCCACTCAGCCACGAGCAGACAACCAGCCAATGAACTCACAGTACTACTGACACACACATACCCCTTCTGCCTCCGGTGAGAATGTGGCACCCTCAGGCTCATCCTGTTAGCAAAGTGAAATGAATTGAAAGTTAATAAACTAGCAAACAAATTGTAAATAAAAGAATTACGGTTTTAGTTTAGTTCCTAAGAAGTCACCTTACAGAGATTATAAATTTCCTCTTTAGCTCACATGCAAACCAAAGCAAATTATGGGTGGCTATGTTATCTCAACTGGACTGGGCCAATATTCATTAGAGAGGTATGGTAATGAGACTGACGCTTCTTACAGCATCATCGGTACAATGAACAATTGCATCTGTGAAAGTTGCTCTACTGAACCCTAAAGATGAGTGTAATGTGATTTTTGTTTAGCAAATGGTTTTACCCATAATGCCGTGTGTCCCAGAGTTTGAACCTACTGTCAGTCTAAATTATGAATCTTGTACCATCTTTTGTGTTTGTTTGGAAATTTGTTGTGGTTTCGTATTGCTGATTACAGACCGTAACCCAGTTTCACAGTACCAGCCTTCCCTGTCCTCGTTTTTACTAGCAGCTCCAGGACCGAGTTTGTCTCCATGGCTCAGGGTGAACTTTTTCCCAGCATGCAATGTTGATGGACGGCCCACCCACCCTCCCTACCACCTTCCCTCACACATTCTGACTCTCTACCATCATTCAGTGAGATTCAAAAAGCCACATACCTCGTAATCATCAATGTAATCATAATCCTCCTCCTGGCACTCCTCCTTGCCCCCCTGAAAGAAAACATATCCTGTTCAGCTATATTTCCTTTAATTTTGTTGATTTTTATCTCTAAATTTAGATTAATTTAATCAACTTAGCAAATCACAGTTTTTGGCAAGCTTCAGCTTATGTTGTGTGAAAAAGGCATGAAGCTGAAATGTTAACATATGAGCCAAAGCCAAAGCCATAATATATCACGAGACATGGAAGAAGACACAGGGAAGACATGGTGGGGACCTGCTGCTGGGGACAGCAGACGGGGACAGCAGATGGGGTCAGCACGCAGGGACAGCAGACGGGGACAGCAGATGGGGACCTGCTGCTGGGGACAGCAGACAGGGACAGCAGACAGGGACAGCAGACGGGGACAGCAGGTAGGGACAGCAGATGGGGTCAGCACGCAGGGACAGCAGACAGGGACAGCAGACGGGGACAGTAGATGGGGTCAGCACGCAGGGACAGCAGACGGGGACAGCAGATGGGGTCAGCACGCAGGGACAGCAGACGGGGACAGCAGATGGGGACAGCAGGTAGGGACAGCAGATGGGGACAGCAGATGGGGACCTGCTGCTGGGGACAGCAGACAGGGACAGCAGACAGGGACAGCAGACGGGGACAGCAGAGAGGGACAGCAGACGGGGACAGCAGACGGGGACAGCAGACGGGGACAGCGGATGGGGACAGCAGGTAGGGACAGCAGACAGGCTGTCACTGGGCTCGGTTACCAGGCACTTCTTCTGCCGCCGTTGCCTTCCTTTGTTTCCTTTCCCCTGAACGGAAGTTAACAGTGAATTCAAGAATTAGCAAATGAATCACTGCTTACCCAGTGCAGGGCCACAGGGAGGAACCGTGGTGATAACATAAAAGTACAGGAGCTTAATGGATGACGGATTAGAATGTGCAATATAAGTGTGACGTAAGAGCTTTTAAGAGTCTCCCGTTCCCCGTCCGGACCTGTTGAGTTCTGTCCAGTGCTGTTTTTAACTTACGAACTTGGGATGCTCCGATCAGGGTTTTTGTTGTTGATCACTGATTTCTGATCACAGGTATCAAAATCGGCGATCATGGAGAAGTGTAACTTCAAGTGCAACTTTACTCCCAGTTGTTACGTACCACCAGGACGGATTTCTGATTCATACACATTGCATATAGCAATTTTATTGTCTTTTTCAGACATTTTGTAGGAAGTGGAGTCATTTTACCAAGCTTTCTTTGCTGCACACAGAGATATGTCTCATGTATTTTGCCAGCTGATTAGCTGTCCTGATGGGCCTATATAGAGAGCTCTGTTCAAACTATTTAGAATGAATATCTGTAGCTAATTGGTGGCCGATGGAGCCCTCAGCTATGTGTCGTCTGCAAAATCGGTATTTGAGAGACTGAAAAGTGGCTGCTTTTAAATCAGCTGCTGATCGTTCAGAGCATCTCTATTATGAACCCAGTGAGGCTCCCCCATGTTCACTACATGAAGCATCACCTTCGCTTTCTCCTTGCCCTTCTTCCTGTCCGTCAATGTCTTCCTCGGCAGGTCCTCCTGACCCAGCTGGAGGGTCTCCATCTCTGGTTCTGGATCTCTGGAGGTATCCTGCAAAACACATGCCAAAAGAAGTCACCTGGGCCAATCAGCCTGTACTGAAGCGGGGAGCTTGCGGCCTTTGAGGGTCCCCAGGGCGAAACTATCACAGCAAAGTGCGAAGTTCCTGTTAGCCACCATGTCAGAGCCTGCAGGACCACAGCTCACCATACTGTGGGGTTCACCATGGCAGACAGAACACCAGCCTGGTGCTACCAGCCCTACGGCTGTCCAAACAGAAGGGATTTCTGCCACAGGGTCACCATACCGTCCTTGCCGGAGCCTTCAGGTCTGACAGCCTCAGCCCCAGCTTGGGAGGGAGAGTCATGATGTAGTTGTCTTCCTCTGTGGTTCCACCCACTATGCTCTCAGTATCTGTGTGTGTGTGGTTCCTTCCAGACTTGCTCTCCTTGTGAGCAGTGATACCTCCTGGTGTGGGGCCCTCCCCCGTTTCTTCCTGCCTCTCCTGAAACACCCACGCACACGCAGAGGGACACACAGAGATCACGTCACAAAAAGCCTGACATAGACAGAGTGCGTGCTTCACCACAGTGATCAGAGGAGTTCCGTCATACCGCATTGTGCGTCATAAGAAGATGATCTTCTCCCTTGGAGGTCCTCCCAATGGCTTCGGTCGTGGTCTGTGGTTTGCTGGAGACCTCAGACTTCATAGAAGTCTGTGCAAAAATAAACCATCAGCACAAATGAAGGGCTGATAAGACAAAGGTAAAGATTATATATCACTGATAAAATGTCATGTGGGACTAGGCTGAACACTGATTAAGTTACTGATTTAATAAATTATCACACACCAAGATAATACAATGAAAAAACCCTCTAAAACAGCCAGAGATGAGACACCTCAGTTACCCCTGTAGGGAAACGAAATCATACATCTAGTGTGCAGCAGAAGCAGTCGACCATAAAGTCACAAGGTCACTGATTATAATATTTCTGAATACCATGAATGCAAAGATCGTACTTGTGTTCTTGGCAAGAACACTCTCTTGCAAAATTGCCTCCGAAGAACAAACCTGGGATACAATGAATCATGGGATTGTTCTCGTTGCAGAGGATGCATCTGATGCATTTTTGATATTTGGTGCTCGGCAAGAAATGACATCTAGGGAATTTTACCATTCTCTGTATTTCTGCTAATGAGTTTTGGAACAGTACTACAGCAATGGAAGTTGGCATCAAACGGCTACGCAAGAACACAAATACGGTCAGGTACGCCTATTGATAAACACCCCATTATCTTTGAGTCCTGCTTGTGTAAGCACTTTCACACCCTGGAGAGGCGGCTACGTTCACCGTGTTTTGGGTGATGAGGTTGGAGTTGTGCTCCCCATCCTCATTCAAGTTCTTGCTGAGATTCATCTCTCGCAGTAGCTCCTCCAAGCCGCCCTGCAGCAAGCGCTCAATCAGGGCCTTCAGCAGGGGGAGCTGCGAGATGGAGTTTGAACGCTATCGTTAATGCTCACCCGAGGAAGCCTCGGTAGATCGATACGGAGCGCGGGACGGCAGCCTACCCTGATGCCGTAAGCTTCGAAGAGTGCTTCAATATCCTGATCACCCAGGAAGAAAACACCAAACATCACTAGGGCTGTTCAATGAGCTCAATTTTCTTTCTGAAATAAATTTTAACGGGGAGGGGAAAATAATACCTTCATGTCTATAGCTCTTCCTGGGGGGCCAGCATCACCCTGCCAAGGATGGAGGAGAACATTTAGCTGCTAATTTCGCTGTGCTACACTTACTACCAGTACAATGACAATACAGGCTTCCAATTCTGACTGCTTCTAGCAGGACAGAGACAGCACCTTCTCCCCCTTTGAACCCTTATCTCCTCTCTCGCCCTGTAAGAAAAGCAAGGACACAGCCAATCAGTTTCCTTAGGCTTCAGTGATCTTGCTCACACTCAGAGTAGACAGATCATGCATGATTTACAGACGTGACACATTTTAGAACCTTCCTCCTTCCTCTGCAGAACAGGCTTGAAATTAAATAGTCAGAATGTATCCGTTAAGAGTCTGCACCATGACACGCCTAACTCGCTGACTATAGACCTACATGTCGATACAAAGTCACATGAGGTGTCTGTATGTGTGCAACTCATGCCCTAGTTACCCAATTCAAGGGCCACCTGCTGATTAGCACGTGTATCAGCAGAGTGGGATACCTATTACTGTCATACTTACGGTTTTCCCTGGAGGCCCCATGGACAGAGGAAAGGCCTGCCTCAGGTCATCAAGGGTGACATTCTGGGGGTGGTGATTAAATGGTTAATTTCCAGAGGCTTACCACCATGAAACAGAAAACGAGCACATGGTTAATCATCCATTCACCCATCCATCCATCCACTTATCCTGGTCAGGATCATGGGGTTATTATCTCTGCTTGCCACACCACTGGCTGAGATCCTAGGGCGTCAGCTGCGGACTCACCAGTGCGGGAGTCCCGGGGAGGCCAGGAGGTCCAGGCTCCCCTTTTCTGCCCTCCTTTCCCTAGATGAGAAATCGGGTGTCAGAGTTACCGGTATAGACTTCGGTGCCAGTTCAAGCAGAAATTCTGGAAATATCTTTTACTGAACAATTTTTGTTACAAAAAAAATAATAAAATCTTCTGACAGGTGACGGAACTTCATTCCACAGCAAGTTCACATGAAAAGATGTCTAACAAAAAAACACAGGCTTGTCTTCCACTCAAACGCTGTCTGCTCGGTGCGTATGATCGCCAGAAGGGTATTTAGTTTAAGAAGAAGCTCTCACCTCCGCGGCTGGTTCTCCCTTCTCACCCTGTGGAAATAGGAGACAGGCCACTGACTGCATAGACTGGTTTTCAGAGAAAAACTAAAAACAGCATTTTTTATGCAGCCACCCCCCACCCCAACCCCATGTATGCTGGCATATAGCTGTGCACTGACATTTTTGACACTGCACCAAAGTTAGCCCCACCCTAACAATACCTTTTCTCCAGCGGCACCTCGCGGTCCCGGTTCACCCTGATGCGGGAGGATGACAGACAGAGAGAGAGCAGATGGTCAATGCCCTGCAATAAGGACTATAAGTACCATGCAACCTGAAAAAGGAAGCTGTCCTCACATCCTTCCCGGGGATTCCTCTCTTTCCGTCCACACCGGGGCGGCCCTGCATGCCACAGGAGAAGAGGTCAAACCTGGGATTCAGACATGTGACACGGCAGGAAGGGGAGGAGCCACACTCACCGGGGTTCCGGGTAGGCCTGGTATCCCTTCTATGCCAAGACGGCCGGGGTCTCCTTTTTCTCCTTTCTGTAAACACAAAAAAGTCTTGAGATGTCATTGGTGGATCCTATATAAACATAGCTGTATCTACACCCAAACTACTGTACTGTTATTGGTAGACTCCTTAGAGACACATGTATTGGTGGATAACTTCAAGGCACAGCTGCATCTAGATCCCAAATTTTGCATTGTCATTGGGAGATTCCTAATATATACAACTATATCTAGATTTCAAATCCTGCTTTGTCATTGGTGGACTCTTTATAGATACAACTGTATCTAGATCCCAAATTCTGTATTTTTTTTTGGTGGATTCCTTGTAGATACAGCTGTATCTAAATAATCCTGCATTGTTATTGGTGGACTGAGTATAGATACAGCTATATCTAGATACCAAATCCTGCATTGTTATTGGTGGATTGCTTACAGATACAGCTAAATCAAGATCCCAAATTCTGCATTGTCATTGGTGGATTGCTTACAAATACAGCTATATCTAGATCCCAAATTCTGCATTGTAATTGGTGGATTGCTGATAGATACAACTGATGCAGAGAGACACATCTCTACATGTTTGTCAACCTTACTCAATAAGTTGAGTATTACAGGGTTTTACCTTACAGTATTTTCCACTGTTAGAGCATTTTTATGAGTGCAAAAACTTTGTGTAATTTGCCTTGTTTATTTGTCATGCTGTATTATCTAAAGGAAAAACTTTCTGCAATGAAGTAAGTTTGTAAAGCGTCATTTGAAAGTATGAAAGAAATTTTTAAAAATCGTAAAAGAAGCTATTATAAGAATTAATTATAGCATTCAATCACGTATACGATTAGGTGTAAAATAGACTCTGAAAAACGATAGTTTCCTTGAACATATAAGTGACCTGATTTGTAATTAGTTTATATTGTGCTGGTGATTACAGTCCTACATTAAACTTAAGCTTTATAGAAATGAGAAAGTCCAATTATTTGCATAATTGCACATTGCTCCTGTTAAATGTGTGTTTTTAGCTAAAATTACAGAGGAAATGAACCCTTGTGGGGTGGATTTGTGTATGTGCGTGTGTGTGTATGCGTGCGTGTGTGTGTGTGTGTGTGTGTGTGGGGCACTTACCAGGCCTGGCACTCCCTTCTTCCCCGGGTCACCCTAAGTGCCACGAGGGGCAGAGAGTATGAGAAAGGATCAACATAGGAACTCCAGTGAAGCAGTATACGGAAGCCCTGAAGGGACACACGGATGCGACCTCCAGCGGGGCATTGAGGACACATGGAGCTGGGCAGGAAGGAGTCTCACCCTGGGGCCCGGCTGGCCCGGTGTTCCGGTTAGGCCATCATGTCCCAAGGCAATATCGCCGCCCTGCTAGGCAAGGGAGACACCCAAGAGTATGTGTATTGCCATGGAAAATCACATGCTGAACACAGAGCCACATGCTGCGTGGAAGCAGGCTACAGAAGCCTGACCAGGCCGCAGAGCTGCTACACACTCGGATTTCCCATCATGACAGAGGTGCTGGGGAGCAGCAGTGCAAGTGTAGGTTTGGAGATACATACCAACACATGTCCTGGGGGCCCCGGCTTCCCCTCAGGGCCCTGTTGGGAGAGGCGTGTTTATTACAAGTCCAAGTCAAAAGTTTGGATACGCCAAGCTGCCTACAAAGAAGTATGACCGAGTGTCACACCATGTGACCTGCCACCTGACCTAAGCACAGGATAAATGGTTCTGGAGGAGTTTGACCAGAGAGTGAAGGACAAGCGACCGATAAGTGCTCAGCTTATGTGTGGGAACTCCTTGAGGGCAACTGGAAAAGCATCCCAGTAGATGACCTCATGAAACTGGCATAGAGGAGACAGTAGGGTCAGCCAGTCCCTGACGCAATTGGGGTTAATGGTTAATGGTGGGATCACTCGGCCGACCTGGGGCTTTGAACCAACAACTTTCTGAATCTCCACCCACAAAGCTGCCCCCCCCCCCGAAACTATTAATTTTCTTTTTGTTGAATACTTTTTTTGGTCAGAGCATAACTCCATATGATATTTTATAGTTTTGATGTCTGTACAATTATTGTAAAATGTAGAGAATAATACAAATAAACTTTCTATGGGTAGGTATATCCAAACTTCTGACTGGTACGGTACAGGCCACAACCTTGACCTGGTAAATGTGTGTACTCACTCTGGGCCCCGGAAGGCCGCTCTCTCCTCTGAGGCCTGGCAGGCCAGGATCTCCACGCTCACCCTGCCGGAACAGGATGGCATCTCAGAAACATGTCACCGCAACACCGGGCAGAGAGGCCTGAGCTACGCACATGCGTGTAAAGGTGCATGCAAGTTACCCTGCAGCTGCGGCTAGGAGGAATCTCACCTTAGAGGGACCTGGCAAGCCAGGACTTCCCTGACAGGAGACAAACATCAGCAAAGTGTGAGAGAGGGGTAAACAGTTTGAGTGATTGAGTTTGTTTAATTAAAACAATGATAAGTAAAGTTGCTTTTTCAAGGCAGGATAGGATCACTGACACGTGAGCCAGCGTGGGGCCGTATCGTATCGAGTCACTGGGATTCCAGCTCGCATGCAGTGCCTGTCCTGTGACACAAACAAACTCTGCTGCACACGGCACTGCACACCAGCTCTCTGCTGTGAATAAATGCTCGTAACTCACAGGGTCGCCTTTCTCGCCCTTGGGTCCCTCTGCGCCCTTAAACACAAAGGAAAAAAGTTACATTAGCAGGAGCTCTGAGCCAGATGCCACTAACTAACAGATGCCAAAAACCTTATTTTTGGGTCGAGGATATTGACTTGACAAAACACTCATAATGCTTAAACAGATCCTGCTAGTTTGTATGGTAGTTCGTTGGATCATATACACCCACCGGAAGACCGATTTTCCCAGGATCCCCCTTTTCTCCCAGGTCACCGATGCGTCCGGGCAGGCCGATTGGACCCTGTATTCAGAATATAACACGACAAAACCCACACATTAAGCCAACCCCAAAACGAGGCTGCAACCCTCTGTACTGGTACTCCAGAGGGCCATCACAATTCTATCAGGCAATGCCTGGGCTCCTTAAAGCCAGGTGTCTGCGCCACTTAACGGCAAGTGCCTGGACCCCTTAAAGGTAGGTGTCTGGACCCCTTAACAGCAGGTTCCTGGACCCCTTAAAAGTAGGTCTCTGGACCCCTTAACAGCAGGTTCCTGGACCCCATAACAGCAGGTTCCTGGACCCCTTAAAAGTAGGTCTCTGGACCCCTTAACAGCAGGTTCCTGGACCCCATAACAGCAGGTTCCTGGAACCCTTAAAAGCAAGTGTCTGGACCTCTTAAAGGCAGGTGCCTGGACTATTTAAAGGCAGGTGCCTGGACTATTTAAAGGCAGGTGCCTGGACTCTTTAAAGGCAGGTGTCTGGACCTCTTAAAGGCAGGTGCGTGGACCTCTTAAAGGCAGGTGCCTGGACTATTTAAAGGCAGGTTCCTGGACCATTTAAAGGCAGGTGTCTGGACGCCTTATAGGCTGTTCCACACACACTTCCTTTCTTTACACACAATTTAAAGGTCCCTTATTGCCAGCGGCACAACCACACAAATGCCTTGTTCCACTTAGTGGATGACAAAGCTCAGACTGTAGCTCCACTCGGAGCTAGATCTCCTGTTGACTATGGCAGAGGTGACACTGTCCCAGAAAAAAACCAAAGAAAGAAGGAGGACAAAAAGAGATGCACCTTCACTCCTCTGTCCCCTGGCTCACCGGTGGGGCCCATCTCTCCCTAAGGGGGGGAAAGGCAGGTCGCACACAAGGTCAGCAGGCCGGTACACTTTCCTGGGGTCTAACTGCAGGGACTGAATTAGTTTTCTTCAGTGAATTTAAAGAATAACTGATATATTAATGACCTTCATGGCCTCCGTCACTAGAGCAAGTCTCCCTTGCTACTCACCTTGGCACCTGGCTCTCCCTTGGGTGCAGGTTCACCCTAAAAAGAAGGCAAACAGCCCTTATTCCCACAAACCTCAGAGGTATCAGAAACAGGGGTACATTCTAAGGCAGGACAAGTGGATCAGTGTACGACCTGAACAAGTGTCCATGTTCAATGCACTTTTGCAGTAAACCCTCCACATCAGTAATGACTTCACAAGATTTACTTACATCTTTACCTCTTAGTCCAGACGCTCCAGGGCTTCCTGGTGGACCCATATCTCCCTTTTCTCCTTTGACTCCATCATGGCCCTGGAAAAAGGGTAAATGACATCATTATTAATACTGCCTCATAAAACAATAGCAGCCTGCTGCATCATGAGTTTTAGCTGCTGACGTCATCATTAAACATACCTTGGGTCCCGGTCTTCCAGACAAGCCTACATTTCCCTACAAAGGAAAACCAAGAAGTTGAAAAATAAAAGTAAATATAATCTATCAGCAGAGAGTTCTTCCAGTACAGGGCTGTGGAGCTCCTTACCCTCTCACCGCTCTCTCCTTTTGGTCCCTGCACTCCAGGAATCCCGAAGCCTGGACTTCCCTTCAGAATGAGAGGAACGAGCGATTAGTCCCAATTAGAAGCAGGGTTATGGTTTGGCAATGCTACATGAGGTCGGGGGTGCGGGTAAACATCAGAGATGGCAGGTTAACGTGGTGACCAGCCCAGACGGTATGCTGAGGCTGTGAACCACTGACTCTGCTAGCGAGGTGACTACCTGGGTCACATACTTTAAGGCAGTGATTCTCAACTTGTGGGTCACGACCCAAATTTTAGTCGCAGCAAGTTCTGAAAGGGCCGCAAGGCAGAGTTGGAAATGTAAGCATTTTAAAACCAGCAAGCTCCTATGCTGATCCACAATCAGGTTTCCCAGCCCCAATCTTAGAATTAATCTATACAAACAGGTCTCGGGTCTGCACCTGCTTAGTGCAAAACCAGTGAACACTCAGCAAATCCACGAAGCCAAAGCGCAGATGCTTAATTTAAAATTCACTGTCACATCCAATCAGATTTGTGCAATAGGCATTGATTGACATTAGACTGCAGAGTGCATTGCACGTTTGGTCATAGCGTTAATTTAGACCTATGCTTGGTAGTGGGTCACGACTGAGCTGGCATGGTAAAACTTGGGTTGCGGTGCAGAAATGTTGAGAACCACTGCTTTAGGGAGTGCAGAAGTCCTGGCCTGCTGCCTCCATGGGGCATCTGGCTTGAAGCCAGAGAGTAACCAGAGGTCTTACCATCTCCCCTTTCTCTCCCTGGTCCCCCTTGGTGCCCTGTTCTCCAGCGGGTCCCACTGGTCCAATGTCACCCTAAAGCACAGAGACATGAGGTGAAGCCGATGGATCGGCTTAACTGAAAGGTGAAAAATGCCAGAAAGACCTGGATACAAACAACGTTAATGATACAGTCAGTGTCACTCATGCTTTGGAAGAATGAGAATAGTTTCTAGCAAAATGATCAGGTTTGCAGTGGTGTCACTACATCTGATGGCAATGACAAAAACGGGGACCACGTAGAGGCTCGCTGATGCCTCATGCCGACTTGACTTGGTGCCCACTGGCCCTTTTCACAGTCCAAATGCGTGGTGCCCAGAGGGCTGTATGTCCTGACAAAAGGTGGCATGGTGACAGGTGGGCCCCGGATGCGTGGTGCCCAGAGGGCGCTTGTTTGCTCGGATCAGGCAGACGGAATGTCCCCAGCAATGTCGCCTCATGATAAACATAACAATTATCCCGGCTGTTAGCCAGTTTAGGGAGCGGGACGGACAGCCTCACGACGGCTGCTCAGCGTGGAGCCAGCTGTGCCGTTCAGAGAACTTCACATTAGCAAGACAGGAGACATTCCCAGAGAGAGAGTCCATCGCTAACCAGCACTGAGGATACTCCAGAGAGGCCTGACACTTTTACAAGGGGTTTGCGGTTCGGGTAAAAGTCTACTGCAGCAGCTCTGCAGAAAATTGAATTACTGTTGTTCAACACATCATGTTACCCAAACACTGGACTGTTACCTAATCAAGAGTAAGGTAATACTGAAGGAAAAGCCGAAAGGATCAAAAGGAACTCACCCGGACACCCTTCATCCCAGGAGGTCCAAGGATCTGTTATAAAACAAACCAAACATCTATTCTGCACACATTCGGGAATAATGCAAAACAAGATTTCAGGATAGGTTCTGTTTATTCAGCCACACTGGACAGGGAGTGACCGTAACAGAGGCTGCAGGAGATGGCATGGCACATGCAGGACCAGAGGCTGCAGGAGATGGCATGGCACATGCAGGACCAGAGGCTGCAGAGAAATGATGTGCAGGGTCATTCTGCACTGTTGCTTACCCCTCTGGCTGGTTCCCCAGGAGCTCCGTGTTCTCCCTGTGAAAGCAAACGTGTCAGTCACATACACGTGCACATGCACACGGACAATGACACAAAGACCATAAACGCCATCCCAACACACAGCATAAACAAGCACATACATGTACTGGGGAGTGCACACACGCTCACACGCGAACCATACACAGCCACCCCAACACACAGCATGAACAAACACACACTTGCTGGGGAGTGCTCACACACACGGACACGCACACATAGACCGCACACAGCCACCCCAACACACAGCATGAACACATGCACACAGACACATGCAGACCATGCACAGTTACTCCTAGTAGGTAACCTTAGCAACTTGAGGGCATATTAAAGTGGAATATTTCAGCATATGACTTCACTATGGAAAATGATTAATATCTTTGAGGTGACAAACTGCACTGAGGTCACACTGTCCTCATATGGAGAATCTACCTTGCTGCCCTTGTGTCCTTCTGGGCCCGGGACTCCCTGATGGTGAGAGAGAGAAACACACTGAGAACGGCATCCACACTCCAGTTTGTACCCAGCTGAGGTACAGAGCAAGACCACAGATGAATGATCAAGTGAGCCTGCTCTTCACGTCAATAACATCAAAACATATGTTCATGCAGTGCTCCAGAACCGCCGGATAAATGGCTGATGCTGCACTCAGAGCCCGAACTACACTCTTAACTGCATATATATGTGCATATGCCTAAAAACGGAGAGCATGATGGGATATGCGAAAAGAAGCACTCTGACGTGCCTGAAGCCGTGTCAGTAATACATAGAATTCCGTTTATTATTACAAGTATCGATATTTTAAACCATAATTAGCAGTGATTGCTCAGAGCTTTCAAATGAAAAATGCATTTGGTCCCAAGGCAGCCATTTCCTGGTGACTACCCATCTTTGTTTTCTAGAGTAGTGTTTCTCAACTATGTTCTGGGGAACCTCCAGACAGTCCACGTTTTTGCTCCCTCGCAGCTCCCTGCCAGCTGGTCCACATTTTTGCTCCTTCCCATCTTCCTGCCTGACAGTCCACACTTTTGCTCCTTCCCAGCTCTGTGGACACTTGGACAGTCTGGGGGTCTCTGAGGACCATGTTGAGAAATACTGGTCTAAAGCATTGTGCACCTGGAGCCTGTCTGCTTTGCTGAGGGACCAGTGCAGATTCATACCACTTAAGAGGATTTCCAGGATCTACTGAGGAGCCAGGCTAAGCAGGGGCTCTGTTCAGGACTGAAGCAGAATGACCCAGTTTTAGTGACAAGGGAGACGTGTAGAGGACACTTCCTGCAGTGTAAAGGGGAACTTCCTGCTAGTGGAGGCAAGTTTCTTGGTGTAGCTGTGTAGTAGTGCAGTGCACACTGCTCTAAGGGAGTACTTACCAATGCCCCCTGTGGACCGGCAGGTCCTACCTCTCCTCTGGCACCCTAAAAGCAGTGAGTGAGGGCGGAGTAAATCAAGAAGAAGGTCGCACCTTCCAGTGCATTCTTTTCTCATTTGTATTTTGGTTCACAGGCTACGAAATCTAAATAAAAAATGAATCTTAACTCTGGGTGACCTTTCAATAAAAGCTGCAACCTGCAGAATCCTCATTACACAGAACTGACTACTCTGTGAAAAGCTACAGCTGCGAGGAAAAGGTTCTGAATGAACTGAAGGAGACACAGTGTCTTTGGACCTCCAGGGCTGGGGGCTTGAATCCCGCCCCCACTGTTTGTGCGGGGAAGCGTGCGAGTTTCCCCAGGTACTACACTAACCTGTCGTTAGTTAAATACAACTGTCTTCATTATTCCTGAAGACTGAATCACACTTTAGATCCCATTGATACAGATATATATTGTCTGATTTGAAATGTTTGTCTTACCTTTTCCCCAAGCTCTCCTTTCAATCCCCTTTTTCCCTAAGCATTAAGACATATTGAAGCATCATGAAAGTCTGAGGGCCAGATCCTTCAGTGGCTATGATACCAAGCAGCAGTGAATGGGGGGGCTTCTCAGTGTGTCGTCATTCATTGATTAATCTGAAAAGCCCTGAAGGCATATGTGCAAACATACGTGCGTAGCATGGCGTGATGGTTTCTATGGAAGCCTATGGAAGCTGAGAGTGATGCATTAACTCTTGTATTAAAAAGGTTTCTATAATATCTGTCTTAAGATATTGATATTCCAGGGCATTAGAAAGCCATAAAGAGATTCTGAGATTCAGGAAATAATGGCAATTCAGAGCATCATATAGTTAAGAAACAGTTAAGAATCCGTACCCGAGGACCCACAATCCCTTGCATTCCTTGGTTCCCCATGGACCCCTACAAAAGATAGATAGACAGACAGACAGATAATTTATGTATTTAATGGTTGTACACATATTTGTTACATTTGATACAAGCCCACTTGTAATAGCCAATAAAATCTCACCGCTGGCCCAGCTTGGCCTTGCAGACCAAGACTTCCCTGGGAAAATAAGGCATGTCACAATGTCATCGGTGCAGCAAAGCATGGTCCTTTGCATGTTTGTCTCTGACGCAGCTGTGAATGTTCTGCGCCTGTGTGCACAGGACACCTCCACCTTTTCTCACGTGGGCGGATGTTGGTGCAGAAGTTACTGTACCTTCTCCCCTGGCTCTCCCCGCGGGCCCTGGGCACCCGGAATGCCCACCCCCTGCTCTCCCTGCGGGAACACACAAAGTGCACAGTCGCATGATCAAAGCCCGATGCAGAGACGCCTTTAGCTCCGTCGCTTATCAGCAGGACCAGCTGCTCTCCTTGGGGTTTATTCGTTAGTCGCAGGACTTGAACGAATGAAACGGGATACAGGTGCGAGAATGATAGGGCGGAGGAAAAGGGCAGCTGAGCCGCAGAAACGGCGCATGGATTTCAGGGAAAAGGTTAGCCCTGAGGAACATACCTTCTCCCCCTTCTGCCCTAGCAACCCTGGAAGGCCATCGATGCCTATTGGTCCATGTAACCCTGGCTGACCCTTAAAGTGACAGACAGGGACAGCATCAGCTTCCCCTGACATGTTTTCATGATGTTGCTGTCTCAAATTCTGGGAGCGAAAGTCGCACGTAGGAGAGCCGGTGTGAGGTTAGGCTTAGGGTTAGGCTTAGGGTAGAGCTCACTCACGTCTCTGCCGTCCTCTCCCTTATCTCCTCTAGCACCAGCCTTGCCTCGTAAGCCCTGAGAAACCAAACAGAGAAGAGAGTCGCTTTCATGGCCAAACGGAGCCGTACCGATATTCTCCTGACACAAAATCCATGGAATCACCTGCGGGAGCCCTGGGCAAATTAAACACTGAACTTAAAACACTCGCTATAAAATCCAGGCCTCGCTCGCTGAAAATGGACACAGGGTGCTTGTGAAACGTGACAGATTATACTCTTAACCACTCTGCGACACTTCAGACATGTGACATTTTCCTTGAGAACAGCCATTAAGCAGCAATTGGAAGGTGCTGTGACTATGAATGTTTCCAGCAATGGGGGGAACTGAAAGTAACATAGTGGCTAAAAATAATATTCATCATTCTGTGTGGAGGACACCCCCCGACACACACACACAGACTCACACACAGAGAGACACAGACACACACTCAGCAGCGTGTTCTGTTAATAATGGACTCTCGCCTTCCTCCTGCATCAGACACCGCAGCTTGTGTGGCTGGGATGGATCAGGCACTGTTGCTAAGAGACGGGGGCAGGTTCCCCTAACAGGCAGATGTCTATCTTACTTGTGTCAGGTTCCCCTATCTCCTGTGTGCGGGCAGGGTCCTCTGTGCAGACTAACAGGCAGATGCCTCTCCTGTGCATGTCAGGTGCCTCTGCACAGACTAACAGTCCCTCCTGCTCACAAGCAGGTCCCTCTGTGCAGACTAACAGGCAGACGTCTCTCCTGCGCATGTCAGGTGCCTCTGCACAGACTAACAGTCCCTTTTGCTCATGAGCAGGTTCCTCTGTGCAGAATAATAGTCTCTCCTTTGCGTGGGCAGGTTCCTCTGTGCAGATTAACAAGCAGATGTCTCTCCGGCTTGTGTTGCGGAATGCAAGCAAGGAGATGAGCCAACAGCCAAGGGCTGTAAACACTGCGGATTTTCCTTAAGCCCCACCTACAATACAGCCAGGTTTCATTTTTCTTAGGGACTTTTGCAGAACAGCACCACCTACCTGAGGGCCTGATTCTCCTCGATCACCCTGTGAGACACACAAAAGGCACATTAGCCAATGACTGAGCTCCCGAGAAGACGGACCTTGCGAGAATACTGAAAATAAAGGGTCACACTGATGGACCAGAGTCACCCGTCGCTGGTCGATCTCCAGCTTGTCTGCACTCACCTTCACTGAGATTCCTGAAGGTCCTGGTGATCCAGGGAGACCTGACACCCCTGGAGGTCCAGGTATCCCAGGGACTCCTGGGGCTCCTTGGGGACCCTGACAGACAGGGACACCAGTCAGTGCTGCTGCTTTATGGGTGATGTTTCAGCCACACAGCAGCGCAATGGAACCCCACCCCCAAACCGACTCTTGTCAGCCTCTGAATCTGACGATAAGTACTATCATATGTCATGTCATTGCAGTAATTGCATTTGTGAGCCGAAGGGACACCATTCCGGACCACACACTCAGAGTGTGCGAACATCCATGCGAAATGTTCTTACTGAATGCAAATTTGTTAACTAGTGTTCTTTTATAGCTAAGAGACAACCAAAACAAATGCAGATTAGAACAATTAAGATCATTAGAATGAGCGGTGGGCTCAGGAGGTGGCTTAACACAGGAGGTGGCTTAACACGTTACTCACAGACACGCCGGGTTCGCCCTTCCTGCCAGGGAGCACCTCACCCCCCCCCAGCACGTACCCCGGCTCCCCCTGAAACGCAAGGGCAAGTAAGTGCTGCACACACACACACATACAAACCTACACACATACACACACACAAACCCACACACACACAGACCACCCCCCCTACACACACACACACACACACACACACACACACACACACACACACACACACACACACACCCCCCCCCCCCCACACACACACACACACACACACATCTGCACCAATCTGTCAATCTGTGCACCACAGCCAGAGGTGGAATGTTCAGATCCAGAAAGTACAAATCTAGACCAAAATTTTGTTCCAACCAACCAGTTCTCTGACTATGACTCTTTATGCTCAACTGGTTGGTTGAAACAAAAACATGGTCTGGATTTGCAGTTCCTGGACCTGAACTTTCCACACTTATTCCTAAAGGTACAAAACTCACTGACATGTTTACTCTTGTTCAGCACGTATCTGACCCCCTGACCCTGCCTCCCCCAGCCCAGAGCTTTAGATAAACATGGTGAATAGGGACTGTGATTTCTCACTGGCTCCCGTCCGTCTAACACTCACCCTCTCGCCCCGCTGGCCTTTCGCTCCCGATGCTCCAGGTGCGCCCTGCCCAGCCATGTGACACAGCATCAGCTCTCCAGCATCTCGGCACTCACAGGTGAGCACTATGCAGCCGGATCCCACCCCCTACCATTCACACTTACCATGTCCCCAGGAACACCAGGGGGGCCCTGAAAACGGACATGTAACGGGTGTAGTTTTTACTGATTGGCTTTTCCGTTATTCTAAGATACCTGACATTTCTGCACCACATTATTATTTTTTTTACTATTATAACATAAAGCAGAAGCTTTTACATGAAATTTCAGGAACATGCAATATAGCTCCCTGCGAGCTTCTGAACATCCTTCTCTCCGTCATACTTGAGGTCCCGCTGCCCTCATTACTTGCCCCAGTTAATTACCCTTTGTCCCGCTGAACCAGGAGGCCCAGTTCTTCCTGGTCGCCCTGGCAACCCTGGGACACCATCTGTTCCGGGGAGTCCCTGTGCAGAGAAACAGACACGGCCTGTAGAGCTTGGCTGGATTCCTGGGGTACCACTTGGGGTGGGAATGGGCGGGGCAGCACGGAGACATTGAGCAGAACATTGGGGCAGAACAGTTAGGCCCGTCCACCAAGCTGCACTCAGCTGATCAGCGAACCAATCAGAAAAGTGCTCTGTAAGCCAAAATCCATTGATGAGTCAAATACAAAGAAAATTAAATAAACTACAAAAACTGAATTCTTTGATAAACGATCTAAGAAACTGTCAGATGGTAAATGCTTCTGGAAGCCAGCTCAGAAAGGGCTAAAGTGTGAAAAGCTTTAATAAACCATCCTATGAAGATGAGAGGGCTTCTGTGCTTGGGCCACACCTTCATGGCAGTCTGTCTGAGATGCAGATGCAGCAATTACAGGCCACTTGTGCCACGCTAACCTCGTCAAAATGTCACCATTTTCCAAAGAGCCGTGACAGGCACCAGAAACCACCGCAGTGTAAGAACAAGCAGGATAATCAATGTGTCTAATTGAAAAAGCAGGTATGGACCAGCACTGAGCCCTGGGCCCAGTGGACCTGCAGAAGCCGGCAGTGGGCTCACCCTCTCTCCCTTCTCGCCTTTGGTATTGATGCCGTAGGGATTGTACTCTACAGCCGGCTGCTGTGGCCTCTGCAACAAAGAGCCAGCAGGTCACTGCAGAGATTCCGGACAGGCAAACGCATAACATTGAGGACCCTTTACGTGGTCATACGTACCAGGCCGCCGGAGGAGAAAGCGTCACCCTGAGGACGAGAAGGTGACCCAATCAGAACGAGCTGCGACTCTGTAATGTGCGGATAATCATCTAAACGGCAATCCTCACCTTTTCACCCTTCTGACCCTGAAAAAAAGGACATAAACTTTCAGTACTGTGTAACAAATGTGTTTAAAGTATTGCACAAAATAAAGGTGTAAGGTGGGAGTTTAAGAACGTGAATCTGTGCTGCTCATTTGTGCTTTCAGAAAAGAGAGATGATGACAGGGATGGTGGGGGAAGTAGAGAAAACACACCTTCATACACTGGGAGGGGCAGGGACCCTGGGGCTTGGCAAGGGACTCTGGGTAATCAGTGGGTGTGTCCAGCTGTGTGGACTGAGAGAGGATTAGTGAAAATCAGCAGCCATTCCTGGCTATGCAGACTGAGGTCGCCCATCTCTTGGGTATCTCAGTCTACCAAGATGAATGACAGCACACTCTGCAAGGACTCATCCTCTTGCACCCGTGAGTGGTAACCACCCAGCTCTTAACCCCACCCAGCTCTTAACCCCACCCAGCTCTTAACCCCACCCAGCTCTTAACCCTACCCCACATTTGATCCTGCCCTGCTCTTGACCCCACCCACTCTTGACCACACCCCGATTGTGACCCCACCCACTCTTGACCCCATCCTGCTCTTGACCCCACCCACTCTTGGCCTGTCCTGCTCTTGACCCCACCCACTCTTGACCCCATCCTGCTCTTGACCCCACCCACTCTTGGCCTGTCCTGCTCTTGACCCCACCCACTCTTGACCCCATCCTGCTCTTGACCCCACCCACTC